GAGGACTGGTATGTCATGCTGACGAAATATCTTGTGCGTGTTGTAGACATCTTCACTATATTAACAGTATTAGCTTCTATTGCAGAATTGGCAGAAGGAATTCTGATGAGAAATGACGAAATTTCATAATGAAAACTATGTGAGATCACTACTTTTACCTGAAAAATCATATTCTCTCGTCTCTCGCTTAATTTTTTGTGAATTATACAAGAGCACAATGTTATGGCATGCTTGAATTAAAGAACTAAAAAAATATGATTCGTATGTCAAAATATCGTGGAAAACTATTTCAATCCTCTGATTTCTCTGTGAACAAATAATAAAAGTGGGGTTGTGTTCCAATGTTTCACCTCCAGGGTCGGTCATCGTGCACGCGACCTATTGTGTGAGTTTCAGCTACGTTAGAAATCTGTGATGATCACTCGTAATTTGTTATTACCCAGCGAGCACAAAAACATCTCAGAGATGTTAAAAGTACGAGATTTCGAGACATTGAACCTCCACTGCGATGTTCTGTTCACACATGAATAGAACTATTATAGAACAGCCAATGTCCGCCGCAGGTGGCAATTATCGAGATGTCCTTGATATGTCACAAAACTACCTTCTCCCTAGTTCTTTTTGAAGCCTTTTCATGGACACAATAAAACATTTTCGAGGTACTTTTCTGAAGCCTTTTGTCAAAATGAACTTTTGCATTAGGATTCCATTTCCCTTGAATGAAAAAATGCATTAAAAATAGATTGAATAAAAAATATTTTCGTGATATGAAATTACCTTCTTAATCGGTTTCTGAGTAGTGCTTACTACACACAGACATATAATTGGAAATAGGTTCCCCAATTTTTGAAATGTTCTCCACAATGCATAATTTTGCAACTGCGGAGAAGCGGTGTATTGATAAATTCGTACTTTTATATATTGATTACACTGAGGCATCGAACAACACATCTTGCATCTGATGGTCATTATTACAAACTAAATAAGTCTTCTTACACAATAAACTTCACCAAATTCCTTTCTGTTCGTTAGCAGCGTGATGTAAGCGTGACATGCCAATTGCGAACAAGAAGAACAAAATCGAAAACAAATCAGAATTCATCGTATTGTGACATAAGCATGAGACGTTGTGGTGGGGCAAACAAAGAAAGGGCACAAAAGAACAAAAACAATACTTTCAATATACTTCTAAGACCTCTTTGGAAAGTGCATATTACGCCTCAAAAAAACATCCTCATGCCTACATTTCTGAAACATCCCAAAACATCCCAGTAGGCAAACAAAGAAATGCCACAGAAGAACAAAAACAATACTTCAATATTCTTCAAAGACCTCTTTGGTCAGTGCATATTACGTCTCAAAATAACATCTTCATGCCGACATTTTCAAAACATCCCAAAACATCCCAGGGATGTTTGTGCTCGCTGGGTACTACGTAGCAAGTACGTATTTATAGCGTCATGCTAATTCCAAATGAATAACTTCAAGAAATCCCTGAGTTTAATGATTCTAGGGAGAGAAATTGTATACACCAATTAGGTATAATCGAGTAGGAGGATCTGCGCCGTAATACCTGCTCGAGTAACGTCAATTGAAACAATCAACTCACGGATGAGAGAACTTGGTATATTTCGATTTGCTGCCTAGGCAACGTTAAGGGGCATTTTATTGCCTTGCTGTCGACTGCCGAATAATCAAGTCGTCAGAATCTGAAGACACAGACGGCAGCTATTCGAATAGGTAGTCTGAAAAAATATTCAAAGAATGTTAACCTCAATATTTTATTTACGAATTGAATATTGTAAAGTTTCGGAGCATCGGCTGGGGATAGTCCTGCACGATTCGCTGTTGCGTTCCAATTAACAGTGCTGCTCCTAAAGTGGCGCATGGAGTTAGTAACAAAGCCTACACAGGAAACGCAAAAAGATATGATGATGTGGTTGTAAGTATCAGAGAAGAAGTAGGACGGTGTATGTAGGTGGGTGTGGAAAACTACCAGCTGAGCGTGAGAGAGGGCCAGCTGCTTAGTAGACCTCGGTCTCGGGGGTTAACGAGGATAGTTAGCAGGCCTGCCACTGCGCATATGGTAGTGAGTACATTACTAGCATACAAAACACAGCCGAAAAACTCTGAAAGAGAGCTGATGGGCGGTGCCTGAAAAGGATGTTAGCCAGCTCTCTTGAGCGAACCACATCAGTCATTGAAACCACTTGGGGTTTGCAAAAAGGTCCCATTAGGGACTAGTTGCTGACGTGTTAACGTCCCCCACCAGTACCAGTACCAGTAACCTTGAATACCACTAGTGAATTTTCGATTTTTTTGTCGGAATAATTCAGATAATATTATCAAATAACTGGAATACATACGTATTCATAGTAGGAATGAACTATTCCTATGATGCATTCGGAATATTATCTATATCCCATAGTGGGTTGATGATTCGCCATGATGGCGAGATATTATAATGAATAGAAATTGATTTCCCTGGCTCGGAAACTTACTAATGCCAGGCTATAAGTATGAGTATTCCAAAAAGATTCATTCTTGAAAGAAATCAGTTACTCGATTAAATGAAGATGTTGAGGTTTCTAACCAACAGAACCAGTTGACCTGGCTGAAATTCGCCCCTTGAACCTAACCAAATATCCTACCAGGCTATAATAGAGTGCAAAAGGGATGAATTCAATAAAAACATCAGTAAATTCGTGAAATGAAGATGTTGAGGTATCAAACAAACGAACAGAACCAGTTGATGAGATCTTTTTTCAGACGCAAAATTGATAATTCCAAATGCGAGGTGGTTCCTTCAAGTTTCATCATAAAAAAATCATCAACATGAGATGTTATAAGGTTTCGAGAATCCAAAGAACCAGTTGACTTGGCTGAAATTCACCCAGTTGGTTGATGAATCTCATAAAATCACTCAATATCATCGTTGAATGAAGTGTTGACGTTCCCAATTCAACAGAAGTGGAGATTGCCTTAGCTAAAGAAATACATATATCGAAGACTGGAACCTTTGGCACGATAATACACTACACTGTTTTATCACTAACCAAACCGATTTTTTAACGCCTCGACACGTGTTTCGCTAACTATGTTAGCATCTTCAGGAGAAGATTAAAACTGTGTAAAAAGAAATACATTTTGAGCAAAATATGTTACCAGAATACCAGGAAGTATTCCAGGCGGGTTGGTTCCAGAAAAGTCGGTTACTTCGTTAAATGAAGATGTTGAGGTTTTTAACTAGCAGAACCAGTTGACCTACCTGAAATTTATTTATTAAACCTACCTAGAGGTTTTTCCAGGCTGAAGGAGTGTGCCAAAGGAATGTTTTTCAATGAAAAATCAGTATCTTCGTTTAATGAATATGTTGAGGTTTCTAACCAACAGAAATAGTTGACGTGACTGAGAATTCATTGAGTTTAGTTTTTTTTCTCGATAGAATTAGATATCATCATAGCTAATGAAAACCATTTCAAGTACCTACACCTATCAATTTCCAGAAAGAAAATGGACGTGATGAAAGCTTATTTCATCTTTCATGAAAAGTTGCTTTAACTTGGGAGTTTGAAGCACCCGTGGAAAAAAACGCCAAACTTGCTCTAACGACAATTCAGGGCAATTTTTGGACGAATCAGTCAATGAGATCTCTAAAAGAATCGCAGGGGCTTTCCAAAATGGCCGTTGAGAGTGTCGGAATTTTTCCTCCACAGAATTGAAACAATTGCGAACGCTGAGAGGTTCCCTCGAGTTTCTTCAAGAAACTATCAATAAGATCGGTAAATGAAAAAGCTGAAATTTCTAAGAAATATTAATAGATTCCTTTAAGTGAAACACATATCATCCAAAATCCTATCAAAATATGTTACCAGGATAACAGAGAATATTCCAGGCGGGTTGGTTTCATGAAAGTCAGTTACTTCGTTAAATGAAGATGTTGAGGATTTAACTAACAGAACCAGTTGATCTAGCTGATTTATTGAACTTACCGGAAGGTTTCTTCGGGCTGAAGAAGTGTACCAAAGGAATGTTTCCTAAAAAAACTAGTTACTTTGTCTAATGAATATGTTGAGGTTTCTAACCAACAGAAATTGTTGACGGGACTGAAAATTCATTGAGTTCAGGTTCCTTTTTCGACAGAATCAGATATTGCCTCAGCTGATAAAATACATTTCAAATACCTACACCCATCTATTTTTAGGAAGAACATGGACGTGGTGGAAGCTTATTTCTTCTTTCATGAGAAGTTGTATCAACTTGGAAGTTTGAAGCAGTTGATGAGATCTCTCAAACAATCGCGGAGGCTTTCCAAAATGGCCGTCGAGACTGTCGGAATTTTTCCTCCACAGAATTGGAACAATTGCGAACACTGAGAGGTTCCTCCAAGTTTCATCAAGAAAATATTAATAAGATTGCTAAATGAGAAAGCTGAGATTTCTAACAAATTTAATTAAATTTCTCTAAGTGAAATACATATAATCCAAGATTCTACCAAAATCCGTTACCGGTATCCTGGTAACGGAGTATTCCAGGCGAGTTGGTTCCATAAAAGTCAGTTACTTCGTTGAATAAAGATGTTGAGGATTCTAACTAACAGAACCGGTTGATCTAGCTGAAATGTATTTATTGAACCAACCTATAGGTTTCTCCTGGCTGAAGGAGTGTGCCAAGGAAATGTTTTCTTCCAAAAAATCAGTAACTTCGTTTGATGAATATGTTGAGGTTTCTAACAAACAGAAATAGTTGATGCGAGTGAAAATTCATTGAGATCAGGTTGCTTTTTTGACAGAATTAGATATTGTCTAAGCTAATTAAATACATTTCAAGTACCTACACCCATCTATTTTCAGAAAGAAAATGGACGTGGTGAAAGCTTATTTCATCTCTCATGAAAAGTTGCATTAACTTGAAAGTTTGAAGCACCCGTGGAAAAAAACGCCAAACTTGCTCTAACGACAGTTCAGGGCAATTTTCGGCCGAATCAGTTAATGAGATCTCTAAAACAATCGCGGGGGCTTTCCAAAATGGCCGTCGAGACTGTCGGAATTTTTCCTCCACAAAATTGAAACAATTGCGAATGCAGAGCCGTCCCGCCTCTCGTGGCGCCTGGTTGGCCCAGACGCGAGTGGGAGCCCGCTGGGAGCCATGGGGGCGGCCAATCGCCGTCCCCGAGCGGAGACGGCGCCGCGACGTCTGCTGATCGGCGTCGGTCGCCAAACGGTGGCCGGAGCTGGCGTCGTTTGCAGGGCATCTCAAGATAGTGAGTAGATTTCGTTGTTTTTTGTTTGTCGAGTGTTGTTCGTGTTGTGGTCGGTTGTCAGTGATAGTATGTTAGTTATTATTGTTTATCATGAAAGGTATATGAATAGTTATTCAACCAACTAGTGTATCAATGAGGGAGATGAATGATCGAGATATTTCAACGTGCGAGCGAAGCGATCTTGCTAATGTTCAGAATCCGTAATCGCCTCTCAATATACAAGTTGGTTACATCATTTTCTACTATATTTCTCATTTCTCCTGCAATGGACCTACTTAGAATTACTCAGTAAACTTGCCACTGTCATAAGTGACATTTGACATCTGTAGAAATAATCAACATAGAAAATAAATTCCTTGTGTTAGAGAACATGCAGGGATAAGAATCCGTTAATGTGGAATCTTTGAAAAAATCCATATTATCGATTCAAATGCAGAATTCGTGCAATAATAGGACAAATTGAGCATCAATGGGAGTCATTACCAATCATTTTCATAATCATTGAACTCAATTTGATACGAGGTCGCCGGAAAAAAGGCTTAACGAACATTTTTGTGTCGAAATCTGTGAAAAAAATTATTTTTACATTTTTGTCAAATCAAGTGCTCCAGTTTCATAATCTCACGTCTTCATGAAATGAACAATTGATTTTTGTATCACTGGATTCGAAAAAAAGGCTAAACGAAATATTTTGTGTCGAAATCTGGGGATAAAATGATTTTTGAATTTTTTTCAAATCAAGTGCTCCAGTTGCATCATAATAAATGATTTTTGTGAGCACCACATGAGTCTCACCCTGGTCCATCGGATATCATCTTTCGACAAGGGCGAAATATTCTCGGAAATATGCCACTAATTCACTCTCAATCGCGGCAGGTTTGGAAATTCGTAAAAGGGACATTTTCTCCTTCCATTCGCTCTGTTTCCACTCGTTTTCACATGACGGAAGTATATGTGCGGAATAATACGAGAAAATAAATCGCCCTGCCTTGGATTTGGCTCAGACTGAGTGGTGGCACAGGTAGGTTTTTAAAATCTATCATTCAATTGGAATCAGATGGTATAATTCGTATCTCTTTATCTTCTTCTATATTATCAAATCGCGAAATCGAGTGTAAATTCCCGCACAGGAAAGTGCAAATTCTCAATCATTTTGCTCAGGCATTGTCGATCTGAATGAAAACTAGTAGGCGACCTAGTGCGAGGAGGTATTAACTACCTAACTAGGTTGTCATCTAGAACGACAATGGCTCAGGATCCCAGGCAACCAGATGACGAATGATCACGTCACTGTGAAGTCCCTCATTGGTGATTTTTCGTCAGAGACGTCACACACCAATTTATGACGTCACTACGACGTACTTTCTATGACGTGATAATCACGTCATCGTTTCGACGTCGAGTGAACGTCACTTAGATGGGTAAAAGAAGACGTCAGTTTCATGACGTTGCAGGGACGTCCTGTCGACGTCCATTTTCCCAGACCTTCTCTAAACCATGAGTACTTATATATTATCATGTGAAACAACAGTATAGCTCATGAAAGCAAATTAACATGCAAGTTTTCTAAAAAACTCTGACACACCGTATATCTCGGAAACCAACAAGCTATGTATATATACGAATTATTGTTTTGGTATACCTATATTGAAACCGTTACTCTTATGACGTTGCAGTGACGTGGACTTCATCGGTCTCCATTCTGTACAGCGTGGACATAAAACTGGAGAGACCCAACTTATTTTATGAAAATTCATCTGAAGGAAACTTCCCCATTTTCTGTAATTTTTCCATCGAAAACTCCCTCATTACGTGTTCACCCGATGTCAGTGTATATTTGGACTACCAATTTCATTCAAATTTCTTGGAATTTCGCATACCAACAAACTTTTTCTGCCTAGACAGAGAAATTACAACTCTCCTGCCTGTTAGTTGTCAAAGAAAAGCCATTTTCCTGGCGCTCTATGTTTTTCCGACTTCAATTGAAACAAAAGCAATTCTCCTTTTTGCTCATATGACACAGCCTTGTCTCTGCACCTCATCGTGAACATGTCAGATTTCAACTCATCGAATAATGAGATATCCCATTTAAACATCAGGTATCCTTTGACACTTGGCATATAGCAGACTTATGGTACATGCTGAACTTGAATGAGGAATATATAGTAGCTGATGTGAAAGTGACCTAAATACAATTCAATAGGTATTCTGTGACTTATGAATCTGCTAATTCTTCTCCATTTGTTTGCAGATGATGTGTTCGTCGGACCAGGATCACCAAAAGTGAATCTCTTGCACTCTACGAACATTTGCTTCGTTTCGTAGTGAATTTCCACCTCTGAACCTACATCAACACGAAGGCTGGTCAAGATGGTGGCAGGAGAGGGATGGTGAGTCATCTTTTTCATTATCACCAAACCAAATCGGGAATATATGTAATCAAATACGAGGAAGATCAAGACAACAAGCGACTGTGAACGCGGATTCCCTTCAAAAATATCACCTCCTTCAGAAGAAGAAAAAATTTTTTATTGACAATACGTGTACTCGAATTTCTCGATATCCTAAACTGATGAGAAATCTGAAATAACCCCAATGAATTAAACAGTAAGGTGATGAATCGTTGCTCACTCTTGAATGAAATATAAACAATAATATCCCCCAAACGGCGCCTCTGGTAGAGATAATGAGAATGTGTGTACATCAGAAAATGCACCTTGATGCATAGAAGCCATGTACTAAATTTGGTGAAGATGTCTACAGTATTATCTCAGTTATTGATCAAAAACTGATTTTTTTTCAAAACTTTATCACCCTGTATCTCGAAAGTTAAGACTTTCGAGACATACGTTCATTGGAAGTTTTTATCTTGAAATGAGTCAAAGAATCACCCTCTTGAATATTAGCATGTCTTTGAGGAACACAATGTATACAGGGTGTAACATAAGTACGTTGAAATATTCAAGTGACGTATACCTGAAACAATTTTAGGAAAAAAGTCTAGATGAACTTGTGTCTCGAAATGCCTCGTTTCGGAGATACAGGGTGTTGAAATTGACGTTTTTGGTTCGGTTTCTGTAAATAAATGCCGCAAATAATACGTTATTCATTAAAATAAAAAGGAAGGGAGGACTTTATACGTCCTCACTGTATATCTACAATCCAATTCCTGCTCACACATCAGAACCGACAGTCCTTTTGTTTCGTTGGCTGTGTCCTTTAAGCAGTCCTATCAGAATATATACGCAGGTTATTCCTGCCCTATGGGTTGCGTGCAAGAACTGTCAGATGACCGACGCTGGAGGCAAAACATTGAAACACAATGTCACTTTTCTTATTTGTTTACAAGTGATGGAAATAGTTTTCTACAATTATTTTGGCATATGTATCGTATTTTTCCGCTATTCATCAATTCGCTCATGCCATCACATTGTGCTGTTGTAAAATGCACAAAAACTGCACCGGAAGATGAAGGAATCCGGATGGTACATTATGATTTCAAAGTAAGTACCTACTATAGTCACTCACATATAGTTTTCATTTTTGAAATTTGGTTATTTCTCTGATTTCTCATCGGAATTCCTTCTGCAATAAGAGCTAATAGAAATATACCTGAAATTTCTAGAATAATGCAAGAAGATTGGATCCATGCAATCAATCGGGAGGACTGGTCTGACATGCTGACGATCGTGTGTGTTGTAGACATTTTCAATCTATTAGCAGTATTAGCTTGTATTGCAGAAATTGCAGAAGGAATGACAACGTTTCATAATGAGAACTGTGTGAGTTTACTATTTACCTGAAAAATGATATTTCCTAGTCTCTTGCTGCATTTTTTGTGCATTGTACAACAGCACAATGCGGAGGCATGCATGAATTGATGAATAACGCAAGAAACACGATTCGTATGCCAAAAAATTGTGAAAAATTATTTCAACCTTTTGATTCCTCTGTAAACAAATGAAAAAGTGAGGTTGTGTTTCAATAATTCAAATTCACAGAAGAGTGAGGTTGTGTTTCAATATTTTGCCTCCAGGGTCGGTCATCGTGCACGCGACCTCCTTCTAGGATCTGCTTGGTTATGTTTCAAGATGGTTCATGCAGGAACGTCTTCGAATGTGTCAATCAGATCAGAGCATTTTCCTCCACTCATTCCGTAATAATTGTTTGCGCAGCATTTTTGTGACACCAAAGATTGCTTCTGGTCCTATGAACACAGACCCTGGACCTGTTTCGGCTTGGATGCTGATACTCAGGCCTAGTGGTTCATTCTTCCTTACCTAGTTGTCTTTATTGTACTGAAAGTTGATATTCGATGATTGTACCCACTCCAGTACCTAAAACTCTGTATCTGTGAAAATCCTCCTCTCTTAGTCCGATCACAGATGAAACGCCTAATTTGATAAGATTGTCGACTGGAAAGAAGAATAGGCTTCACCGAATCAAAATTGGCCTTTGCTATTCTTCGTAACAGTATCTAATTTGTTTTTAATGAATGTTTATTGATAGTTAAACCATTATCGATCTAAATGAAAACCTAGTAGGCGACCTAGTGCGAGGAGGTATAAAATTGTCTGTTCATTCAATCAAAATATGTCTGTCTGTCAAGTGGCGCTGAGGACGAGAAATTGGAAAGAGCTCATTTGTTTATGTCAAAATAGACCATATTAGGTTGATATTCTCTTCTTCTATTTTTGTCCAATATGTACTCAACCACAGACGTGCTTTCCATCATTGACGTGATATTTGATACGAAGGCGATGAAGAAGATTCTTTCATGAGATTGAGATGTCGTAATCATAAAATTATTTTCTGACAGTTGTCATTAACTTATAACTTCGTCTTTGTGGATATGTTGAACTTTGAATTCGTATCCTTGAAAATTACAATTATACCTAATTATTTCTTCTAGTATTGGTTTTCTATTAAAGTTTGTTGATTGGTTTGTGAGTGCGATTGTGTTATTTTGCAATGTGATCTGAAAACTTCGC